AAATAGCGATGAAATTAAACAAACTCGATTAGTTCGCACCTCATTTTGAACCAGGATGGGGCATAGCGATACTAATTTATTTAGCCTGGGCATGCTGAAACACATTTTAAGAAAGTTTCCATGGCCCATCGACCGGTCTGTTGTTTTGAATCCTTTTTTAATACCGGAAATTATTTTAAAACTTAATAAAAGAAAGGATTTATTTAAATAATCACAACACTGAAATTGTTAAGGATTGCCAGGGTGGCCTAGTGGGTTATGATGTAGGCCTGGAAACAGAAGGCCCCAGGTTCGATCCTGTTAAGGAACGTAAAAATTTCGGATTTTTCTTCGATGACTGATGTGTAAAGACATATGGTAAGATGAATTTCGGAGCTTAGAGATGACACCCCGGTCACCGAAAGGCTTGGACAGCCGGGTGCTAAGGATACTTGTCCAATAAACAAAAATGAAAATATGAATATTAATATTAATATGAAAGCTAGGGCGTTCCTTCCAAGCGACGCGCAGGGTGTAGACCTCCATCCTTCGAAAAGTAAAATAAAAGTCAAAGCAAAGAAGACAAGGTTAGCAAGTTTGAATATTGGTGCACTTAAAGGTAAGACGAGAGAATTGGCATCAATGTTGAACAAGAGAAAAGTTGATATAGCGTGCATACAAGAGACGAAATGGAAAGGTTTGATTGGAGATGGGTATAAATTGTACTATAGTGGAATTGTTAGCATTAGGAACGGTGTCGGCATCATCCTCAGTCAAGATCTAACCTCCTCAATAGTAGAAGTCAACAGGATCTCTGATAGATTAATGAAGATAAAACTCTGCATTGGTCAATCAATACTACACATCCTTTCAGTATATGCTCCTCAAACGGGTTGAAGATGACTTTTGAGCTATCCTCGATGAAGCTGTAATGGAAATCCTAAGGATGACCTAGTCATAATTGGTGGTGACTTAAATGCGTATGTGGGGAAAGCAAGAGATAGCTACAAAAGGCATCATGGTGGTTTTGGATATGGAGAAAGAAATGATGAAGGAAATCATGTACTGAAATTTGCGCAAGCCTTCGACCTTGCCTTAACCAACACCTACTATAGGAAAAAGGACAGTCATTTAATAACATATGAAAGTGGTACAAGGAAAACCCAGATAGATTACATGCTTATCTCTCGCAGAAGATTAAAAGATGTAATAGACTGCAAAGTCATCCCAGGAGAAGATATTGCCGCGTAACACAAGTTACTAGTCATGGATTTACACCTCATAAATAAATCCACTCAAAACAAGATAAAACTGGAACCATGCATCAAATGGGGTAAATTAAAAACAATGACAGATGCATTTTCAATCAATGCAAACATTGAAACAATAGATTCCTCAGATTAATGGAAACTGCCAAATCAACATTAGGCTTAACAATGGGAGGCAACAAATCATAGAACTATGGTGGTGGAATGAAGATGCACAAACCACTATTATGGTACAAATCAAAAAACCCAGATGACAAGATAAATTACAAAAAATCAAAGAGAATAGCTACAAAGGCGGTGGCTAGGGCCAAAGCTATGGCATACGATGACATGTATGAAGAACTGCATACCAAAGAAGGGCAAAATAAAATGATTAACCAAACAGCGAGAAAAGAATTCTAGAAAATAAACGGAGCTCCAAAAATAATCAAAAATAAAGAGGGGAAATTGATAAAAAAGGAAAAGAAATAATTAATAGATGGAAAGAATATTTTCAGGATCTTCTCAACTTTAATCCCCACATACTACATCTAGACGAACACTCCCCATGTCAAAACCTAATACAACCAATAACAGAACAAGAAATAATCACATGCCTCAAGCATATGAAAAACATATTCCAATAGAAAGCCTTAAAGCACTAGGAGATGATGGAATACATCTCCTCACAAATCTCTACAATAAAATACTGGGGAATGACGAGATCCCTCAAAAATAGAAGCAGAGCTATCTAGTTCCTATCTTCAAAAATAAAGGAGATCCACACATTTGTCAAAATTACAGGGGAATAAAACTAATGTCACACTCTTAAACTCTACGAAAAAATAATGGAAAAAAGGTTAAGAGACATAATCGAAATAGGAGAGACTCAGTTTGACTAAGGCAAATGAGTGAAAAATACAGGGAAAAGAACAAAAAGCTACTCATGGTCTTTCTCGATCTAGAAAAGGCCTTCGATAGAATCCCAAGAAAACTTATCTGGTGGGCGCTACGCCAGAAAAAATTTCCCGAAAAATATATAAGAATAATACAGGATATGTATATGGGCCATACAACAATGGTCCGTAACACAACAGGTACTTCAGCAGGCTTCACAATAGCCGAGGGAGTTCATCAAGGGTCGGCTCTCAGCCCACTTCTCTTCATTACAGTAAGAGATGTATTATCACAGTCTATACCTCAAACAGTCCCTTGGAATATGATATTTGCAGATGATATTGTGATACTTGCCGAATCCAAGGATGAAATGAAAGAAAGATTAGTGAGTTGGATAAATATCCTAAAAAAGCACGGACTAAAAGTAAATAGAGAAAAAACGGAGTATATGGTGATAGGAGGAGATAAAACAGAGAGCATTGATATAAATGAATGGCAGATATCGGCATTTGAAAGCTGCATAAATTTGGGCTCCACTATACAAACAAACGGCACAATAGAGAAAGAGATAAAGAGTAAAATTAATCAAGGGTGGTTAAAGTGGAGATCTCTATCTGGGGTGCTCTTTGACAAAAGAATCCCACACAAATTGAAGGGTAAAATTTACAGTTCCATAGCTCAACCAACTATTCTATATAGTTCGGAAACATGGCCAACCAAAGAATCAGACGAGAGAAGTCTACAAACTATGGAGATGAGAATGCTGAGGATGATTGCTGGGGTATCAAGAAAGGATAAGGTGCGAAATACAAGAATACTAGGAAGTTTAAAGCTAGTGCCCATCAAGAATAAGATAATGGTAAACAGACTTAGGTGGTATGGACATACAATGAGAAGGCCTATGAACTACATAGGAAATAAGGTTGAGAGTTTGAAAGTGATGGGTAAACTTAAAAGAGGAAGGCCAAAACTTCAATGGGGCCATAAAGTTAGAGCCAATTTGAAGAAATAAATTAGATAAACGAGATAGTATGAATAACATAAAGTGGAGAGATATATTGAAGGAGCTTACCACCAGAAAAGGTGAAAGCTAAAGAGAAAAAAAAAATTTTGATTGTTAAGGATAATTATGTTATGTCAAATTTTAAAAAATAATATGTTCAAGAAATAATTAATTATCGATACTATAACTAAGAAATTTTGTAAAATTGTATTCTTTAAACCCCACATAAGTTTTGAAGAGGGTTGTTAACTATATAATATATAAAATAAATTAATATATATGTGAATTTATCATAGTCTAGAAGAGAAAAAATGGCTAGGTCAAATTCATTTCAATCAAAAGCATCCCAATTTAAAAAAATATTTAAAGTAAGAAAATGAGATTTATTTTTGACTTATCTGAACCCCGGGTCTAAACAACGGTTCTGAACCTCATGTTCGTGCTCAGAGCAGGCCTGAGCATATTATTAATGACCAAGCAAATTAACAACACAACTCTAATATATAGACCAGAGACCTGCAGAGGTTTGCACGGCCCGGCCCTGATTAAAAAGTTTCGGCCCGGCCCGGATATTTTTTCAAAAATTTTTACGGCCCGACCCGGCCCGGGTTTAAAAATTTTAGGCTCGGCTCGGAATTTTTTAAAATTATATTGGACCTGGTATATACAAAAAATTCATCTATTTCGTATTTTATCATATTTTTCGGCGAGTATTATCATTTAATAAGCAAGTATATTAGCTAATGTTGTTAAACGGCTCGTTTTGAGCCGATTTTTAAAAACTGCTAACTCAATATTTTTGCCAGAAAAATATTGACTAAGCCTCGAAATTTCGATACTATATGTCTAGACCTTTGCTCCTTCTATGAGCAAAATTTTCAGGAAAAATAGTATTTTTTTTATTCTAAACAGATATTTAGTATATTACAAATTGATACTATAGAAAATTTGTGTAAATAATATTTTAAGAATATACTATATTCATTGTATTTATAAAAAAAATAAAACTGATATTTTAATTAATAAAAATTATAACATATTATATAATAATGTATTTAATCCTTTGCGTATTTATTCCATGGCAGGAAAACTATAATTATATTATGTAATAGATGCTATGAGTGTTAGCTAGTGTTAACTTTCACCAAACATTAGATTAATCATAACTATATATAATCATTATAACCATATCTAATTGACGAATATAATAATTCATGTTGTATAAATTTTTAAAAAAATACGGCCCGGCCCGGATATTTTTTAAAAAAAAAATTTAAAATTGGCCGGGCTTAGGGCCAGGCCTGCAAGTCTCTGATATAGACTATATATTTTTATATTAAAAATTTATTTGTTAAACGGCTCGATTTAAGCCGATTTTGAAAAACGGCTAACTCAATATTTTAGCCAGAAAAATATTGAATAAGCCAAGCGATTTCGTTAATAGATGTTCAAACCTTTGTGCCACCTATGAGCAAAATCTTAAGGCTTGTATAATATTTTTCCTAATAAAATATTGAGTTAGCCGTTTTTAAAAATCGGCTCGAAATGAGGCGTTTAACAACACTATTAAAAATAAGATAGGTTTTAAAATAGATAAAATTTTATTTACATTCCTGAACCCTGCCAAAAAACTAAGCTCGAAGCCATGCATTCAAGTGGTACTAAACATTTTTTTAAAAAAATATATAAACTATTGCTCTTTTTTGAATTCTATAATCTCGGGCAAATGTTATTTCGGGTTAGAACGTTTATCACATAATGCTAACATTTTGATTAAATTTTATAAATTTGAAATAGTGTTTAGTTTTTTAGATAAGTTTTATTTTGTTTTTTTATTTCTCAATGATTATATTATGAAATTTTTGTTATATTAGTTGAAATTGGAAAGCGTACTGGGATTTACGACGTTCAACAACTCGACTCTCAGTTATAATACAGAAACTCGGTTAATGTCATATCCATCCGGGTTATAATTTCATTTATATAGTCAGTAGCGAGGGCTAGAATTTTTTTTTTCAAACATATGTATATTGCTTTGCTAATGCTAAGTTTTCATATTTTTTTTAAATTTCTGAAATAATACATTTATAAACATATTTTAAATCAGTCTACTGTACAATCATTATGGTCTAAAGGTTATAATTAGTTAGATAACTTTTTAATTGAACATTCAAAATATTTACACCCACTATCGAAATAGTTCTTAGTATAACTTATCCATGCCATTCTTTTTGAATTATAATTTTGAATATTTTTTAATATTCTGATTATGTGCTTGACCCTAAATTTAACGATTAATCTGTCTACATGTTTATTATGTTTTCCAAGATCGAATCCATAACTTTTGATATAAATAACAAAGGTTATACCTAATATAATAAAAAATTTTATTTATCATAATACATTATTCTCAGTTCAATATTGGTGATTCATGATGTACAAACTAATAAAAACGATTATATTGTTACGAATTGCAAAAAATCAATTTCATCATGCTCATTCTCAACTGATGGCAATTTTATCGTGTTTGGAGAAGTATCCCTTTTTTAATTGATCAAATTATTATATTTCTATATAGTTGCTTTTATTTTATAGGTCTCTAATATAAGACATTTAAAAAAACATATTTCATATTTTTATTAGGAACAGTGTCGTAGCCAGGATTTCTCATGGGGAGGGGAGTTTAAAATCTCATTTTTTATGAACACTCAATTGCTTATATCTTAGGCTATGTTAAAATTATTTTAATTATTTGGATATAACAAAATTTTAGAGCGTATTTCATTACAGATTTTATTTATTATATAAAAATACTTTAGCATAGATAACATTCCTTTATTTAATCATGTATTTATTTTTTATTTAAAATAAATTTCAAAATGTAGATATTTTATACAGATTATAATATTAAAAAGTCTTAGGCTAAATCTTAAATATCGAATTTTAAATTATTAAAAATCAATTTGATCTGAATACATTAACGTCTCTTTCTCCGATTCGAAATATTTTCTAGTCTTATGATTCCATGATCTGCATAGATGTTATTTTTTCTTTTCATTTTATTTAATAAATTATGGAAGTAATTTTAATCTCATTAAATTTTAAATCGAGTTATATTTTAAAAATTTGATCAATATATGATATTAAGACGCAGTTCTAAGCATGAAGTTTTCCAAACTTTCGAAATTACTAATTCTAAAGCATAGGCTAATATGTGCTTAAAGAATACATTTTAGTTTAATCTTCAATCCGCTTAGTAAACAGCATAAATAAAAAGGCTATAAGCAAAATACGAAAATTACTAAAAATTGATACAACGATTCAGGATAGAACGAAGGTTTTAGAAGCACATAATCAATTAAAAAAATTAAATAAACTAAATATTAAATTAAGTGTTACTATTTATCATTATAAAAAAAAGCCTATAATATTTTAAAATATGAGACTTTATTTTGTATCAACGTTTCAGCATAAAAAGGTAGTCAAATAAAATTATAGCATACCTGTGCGTAACATATGTTAAAATAAGAATAAATTAATGATTGTTTCTTCATAATGAAATTGACAAGGTAGATTTTTTTAAAAAGGGAATACAACAAAATAGACAAGTATTTTTCATAATAATTTAAAATTTATTCAAAAAAATATAAAAATAATCAAATACTGTAGATCAATTATTATTTATAATAAATAAAAACATAAAAATAATTGTTTTTTAAATTTCAAGTATTTATTATCAATTTAGTAAATTTAAAAAAGAATTCATAAGCCACTGATTAGAAAAAATTTTATATAAACTTTATCGTTTATTCTCATTAAAATATATCTTTTCTCTTAGTACCTCCACTATATTCTGTATACTTTTATAGTTATTATAATTAAGAAAACTACCGTAGATCCCTTAAAAAATTCCATGGTCAAATACAATTTGTTTGGAAAATTTTTTTTTGAATCAAAGTCTTATTCATAATAGTTTTTCAGCTAGATTAGGTTATGCGAAAGTTGTTTATCTGGCCAGTCAAAATATGGTAGGTGTTAAATGGCCTTCTAATAATTTTATTATAAATATGAAATATTACAATATAAAATAATTGTAGAAGTATCTTCAATTTTTAAGTATTTAAAAATCTAATTATACACTAATTTAATTAATATTAAAATATATCATCAGATCTCTATTTAATGATAACATTTTATAATTTATTATCTGAATTATCTAGAACATTAAAATGTTAATTAAACCATTCATTAATTTAAATTTTTTTAATATTTAATATACTTAATAAGACATAATTATTATATATTATGAAGAAAAGACATTAAAAGTCATTTTATTAATTTATAAATGAGAAAATTTTAACATATTTATTTAAATAACAAATAAATAAATCATTATTATTGGTACATTTAGCATGAGCCCATTCTATACAATGTTGCATTTTATCTACTCTTCCCATTTCTTGCTTCTTGAATATTTATTCTCGCATATAATGCACATCCACTCATCATTATTCTTCTTTAAATTTAGAATAACTCTTTTTATTTTGCTAAATCATGGGTAAATAATCTTATCTAAAAATAAATGGTTTATAACATAAAATATAAAATTTATATAATTAAATCTATGATATCTAATTATATAAGGATGTTCTAATATATAATTAATATTTAATTTATATAATTAATAAATCTATAACAATTAATTATCTAACAATTAATTCTAATATCCTTTTTATAATAATAACTAATATCATAAAAAATTCTTTACATTTGTAAAAGTTTTAACTATTTTATTCTAAACTTCATGAATAACTTGCTAGCTTGTATTATATAATCTTTTTAAATAAGGTTTGGTGAATATTAATCTATTTAAATCCATTCCATATGAAGATATTGTAAAATTTCATTGTATTTTTTTTATAGCTTTTCTTAATTCTTAAAGTTGTTCTAGTAATATTAAATATAATCGATACCAATTATGTAGAATTTACCAATTAAATTTGTTCATCAAATTTTTGTGAAACTTATTATAGACTTGGGTCGGGCTTGGGAATTTTTTTAACATTAAATATGGGCCGGGCTTGGGCCAAGAAAAATTTTTTACTGCAGGCCTGGGCTGGGTTTTGTCAAAAAATTAAGGCCCATGAAGGTCTCTGATTGGGATGTGGAATCCATTGGTTATCAGAACCAATTATTTGGTGATGGTAATTTTTTTAAAATTTGAAACTGATTTGACCGGAAATGTGTATCACCATGTAGAGTATACCTACCCTATAAATTTTAGACAATTTTTGCGACGAACATTGCTTATTTATTAATTTAATAAAGAATCTATTTAAAAATTAATATAATTAAGTTTAGTTAAAAAGTTATCGCCGGGGTGGCCCAGTGGTTTGTGATGTATGCTTGTAAACCGAAGGTCCCAGGTTCACTCCTGGTAAGGAGCCAAAAATTTTCGGGTTTTTCTTCGATGATGGATGGCTTTAAACATATGACATGATAAATTTCTGAGCTGAGAAATGCCATCCCGGTCATCGACAGGCTTGGACAGCCGGGTGCTAGGATACTTGTCCATTAAACCAAAAAAGACGGCCAGTTGAACTCGTGGGTCGATGATAACGATTTCTTGGCCAGCGCTAGGATGATGGGATGATGGTGACCTCGGGGGCCGCTCAAGCTCAATATCTACTTACAATGGACTTGATACGATACTCCGGTGGGAGATCCATTAGGATTGATACCAGTGGGAGGTCAGGATTGGGATATCAGATCGATATTGATTTGATACACCGGTGGGAGATCAAGATACTTTGGCCTCGAAAATGATACACCGGTTATCAATACCGATCAGAAATACAAATATAAATTAGATAAAAATAGATAGCATGAGTAATAATATAATAGAGTGAAGGAACTTACCACCAGAAAAGGTGAAAGCTAAAAAAAAAGTTTAATTAAAAAGTTCACGGCAAAAATTGTCTGAAATTCACAGCGTGGGTAAACTAAGGCTGGGAATCAATATTAGAAACCTAAGATAAACGAAAAATTATATTGGTATTGGGACTTAAATATTGGTATTGGTTTAAACAATATTTTTTATTTCTTGTATTGGTATTGGTTTAAATTACTAATTAAAAGAATAGAAATAGTGATTTAAAAAACCAGTAATTTCTAATTTTAAATAAACATGGAAAAACATCATGAAGCATTACCATAAAAACAGGACTAAGAACCATCTCCCAAAATTTTACTGAATCCAAATTCTTTTTTTAAACTAGGAATTTATTAGATGATGTGAATATAAAAATTTTTGATTTAATTATAAATTTTTTATATCAACAAATCTAGCGAAACCAATCAAATAATAAAAGTATTGATTTTGAAAATTTTCATTTAGCACAAAAAATATAGGAAAATAAGTACACTAAAATATAACATAACTGTCTGTTTATATAAAATACAGTGAAAAGATTGATATAAATTTAATATAAGGGAAAATAATTTTATGTCTTTAAGAAGGATCCTGTGCGCATCCAACTTTTTAGGCACAGGCAAGCTTGGATAGTGTATTCATCTAGAAAAAAAGTTGGTCCGTTATAACATACCGTCCTTCTGAAAACTCCCTTCAGAGCTAGCTAAGGTAGCTGGAATTGCAAGATAATCTCTGGCAATTTTCGATAATATTGGATATCTATTTTGATTTCCACCAGTCTATTGGAATTGTATCATTAGAAATTGAGACTTCCTTATTTCTAAGCGATTACTGTTATGACTATATGCTTAGATATATTTTATCATAAAAGGACAATTTTCTGGATTATTTTCTGTTTCATTTATATGTTCATATGAATTGAAATTATATTTTATAAATATTATATTCTTCGGTTAAGTATTCAATGATTAGAAATTGAGACTTCATCCTCATATTTGCTTATTTCTAAGCGATTACTCTTATGACTATATGCTTAGATATATTTTATCATAAAAGGACAATTTTTTGGATTTATTTTCTGTTTCATTTATATGTTCATATGAATTGAAATTATATTTTATAAATATTATATTCTTCGGTTAAGTATTCAATGAGAGTGTCTATACTATTACCCTAATAGGTTACTTTATATTTTAAACCGTAGGTCAATCATTGTTGATATAATATACAGGTGTTTATTAAAATTATAGTATTTATCAAATTTTGCTAAGCAGCTAAAAAGCCCTCTTTAAAATAGTAATAGGAATATTATTGTAACTCTCAACATGGTAGGAATGATGGTTCAACTTGAAACTGATTCTCTGTAGCAAAATTAAATGGTTCCAGAAATTCTCGATATATTTCTATATTATTTCAGCTAGGCAATGATATAATTTTCTTCTGTTATTTTGTAAATTATTGGTATATATTGTCAAATAGGGTTTGAGCAATATTGCCCTTTCAAGCATTTGGTATGTTGAATTCCAACGTGTTGGTTTATCCAAAATCGAGGAAATTTTAAGGTTGGATTTTTTCCTATTTAAGGGTTCTAAAGCGGCTATAACAGCCAAATGTATAACATGGCAAAAGCATTTGCACACATTATTTAAATTAAAATTATCTTTTTGATTTAAAATTATTAGAAATGCTAAATTATTACTTGCATTGTCTAATGTAATACAAAAAAAATCAATTTCAAATTTTACTTTTAATACAGAATTAAAAACATTGGAACCGAAACAAATATAGAAAATATTATGTATTACTAGAATTATGTGCTGATTTAAAAGGAATGAAATCTAATAAACGATTATTTAATTTAAAATCATTATCAATATAATCAATTGTTATGCCCATAAAGGGTATTTTATTTGGAGAGGATCATATGTCCATTTTTTAGGAAAATTTAGATGTAATGTTAGAAAGTACAGATTTTAAATTGCTAACTAATGTTAATGAAGGGTTACAATATGTTATTAAATTTTTAAAAGTGATATCCTCAACCTTTGAAACGGTTAAGTTATTTTGAATAAAAAAGTCTATAATGATTTAAATTAGTTTTATTATTTAATGGGTCTATAAGCCCTGTTGATCATACCTAATTAAATGTTTAATTATTATTTTATTTAATATAGTTTTTATATAAATTTTATTTTACAAATAGTGTACATGTTATTTTAAATATATATATTTTTAAAAAATAAAAGAAATGAGATCACTAAAAATGATTTTATTGTCTTAATTTTTTTTACTGCCAATTTTATTTGTTTGTTCACATTTACTATATAATGTTGGGTGGATGGATTTAAAATGTGTCCATAACCATGAGGTTCCAAAATTGGAAAGAGATATTTTTTTGCATTTATTACAAATAGCCTTTTTTTTGTTATCGCAACTCGTATAAAATTCCCAGATTTTTGCCGTATTTCTTCTTTTATCAGATATTGATGATTGTTTATGATCATTATCTTTATTAATGTCATCAGCATTATCTATATTTAATAACACTATTTGATCTTCCTTCATTATTTTATCCTAGATGAATAGATAAAAATTGATATCATGTAAAAAATTTACTTCCATAATAAAAATAAACTACAATTATAATTAACACCAATACTGATATCACAGTACAGAAAAGTTAGTATTTGCACTAAATATCGGATGTAATAAGTTTAGGCAATTTAAAGATAAAAAAATATACCACATTATAATCATCCTCGATAAAACCAAATAATTATATGTATTTATCTATTTTTAATATTGGGATTGGTATTGGTTAATATTGTATTAAACAATATATCAAACAATAATATAATGGTATTGGTCCCACCCCTGGTGTACACTATGCATGCTGGAATTGGAATATATTTTCAGTTAAATAAGGTAAATTGCCCTTAATAAATGCTTAAAAACTGGGAGATTCCGAATTCCCATGCATTCAATCCAAATACGACATTATATGTTATTGTACTATATAAGTAGTTACAAATTAGATTATATCAAATGCTTAAAGTTAATTTAAAGAATAAAATATTTATAGAATGTGATCTGAATTAAGAATCTGATGGAGCTGGGCAATTCGTGCACTTACTATCCAAAAATTTAAAATTTTTAAACTTAGAAGAATTAAATTTTTATTATTTAAGTAAATTATAGATTTTATATTTTTTTATTTTGGCTTGTATTGGTCAAAATTTATTAATAAAGATTATTTTTTTATGCCTTTTTTAAAAATAAGAAACCTATATAAAGTATTTAACCAGTTTTGCCGTTATGATTTATGTGAATTATATGATTAACCTTATTTCCCATTCTAAACATATTATAATCCGTCTACCTCTATATTACACAAGTTGAAGCAGTGGCCCCTAAACTTTCTGAGCGAATGAAGCAGAATACCCCCCTGAAAAGTACCCCCCCCCCCCATCTCGAAAAATGATAATTATTTTATGACACCCATAAATTTCAAAAATAATTTTTATTGCATCAATTTTTAATATATAATATAAATAAAATGCAAAAAATATATACTTTATGAATATTATTTTTAAATTAATAATTTAGATAAATTAGGGGAAGAGAAAGCGAAAGAATTTATAATTTCATCAATGTTAAATTATTGAGAAATGAATCTTTCATGGTACTACAAAGTCTTGTTTTAATTAATTTAATTTTACTCATGACTCTTTCGGCAGTACATGAGGTTGTAGGAATGGTTAATAAATATTTATATAAAATTCTTAAATTAGGGAAAGCAGAAAAATTTTAAAGTAGACGATAAAGTAAAATAAATGAATAGTTTTTCCAATCTTAATCGTAAGTCCCTGAATTATCATCATCAGAAGAAGAAGCTAAATAATGTATTGGTAAAAATATTTTAATAAATAAATTTACAATTATCAGAATCTGATAAATCTTTAGATTCTTGAACCTATAGATCATGAGTAATAATTATATTCCCCATTTTGGCCATCTTATAAATATTTCTAAACTTCAACATTTCTTCGAAAATTTGACTTGAATTTAAATTGTAAAATTCACAGATATCCTCGATATCTCCTTTAATAATTGATCTTTCTGCCATTCCCTTTGGCGTAAAAAATGATGTTTGATGTAATCGAATCATTATTAAATCTTTCATTAAACTGCATATGTTGTATTCATTAAAATTTAATAAAGCTATATTAATATTTATTAAAAGTAGAGAGATAATAGGAATTTCTTGTTCTACTTTATCAAATCTCTGCTCTGTGTCTGCCTATAAAAAATATAGAGAGATAAAAAATAAGAGTAATTAAATGACCTCAGGTTCACTAATTTCATGATCATTATCAGAATCATCAGATATTATATTTTCTTCTAACACATTTTCTTTATTATTAGGACACTTTTAAAAGATAATTATATTAATTAAAAATATTTATTATACCAACAGCATTGAATTCCCAATTCTTCTTTTTTCTTAAATTGCGATTTAATACCCTTTATAATAAGATAAGTATAAATAATTAAATATTTAATAAAAAAATTACTTTGCTATTTGTCCAATTTTAAGTAACATTCTTAAAAGCTACTATTAAAGTTTTTCTTTATATCGTTAAAATGCCTACCATGTCTTTTTCTAATGTGATCTATCCATTTATCATCTCTTATATTGTGCGATTTGCAATTTTTAATTAGGCATTTGTATTTTTTTTGGTTAATATTTTTAGGCATATTTTAAAATTGGAAAAATAATTTATGAAAAGAAATCTCGGATAACAACCTAATTTACTAAACATCGACCAAAAAATATTAAGTTGGGGGGGGGGGGGTGTCTTATTATTACATTTATAAACCAGAAATCACTTGATCATGATGGATGTAACAAAACAGTAAAAGAATTAAATAATAAAAAAAAATTTTTAAAAAAAGTACCCCCACTTAAATTTACTGAAGCAGTTGCTTCGGACCCCCCCCCCTCCCGTTGTTGGGGCCACTGAGTTGAAGTTAATATATTGGTTGATTTTATAAAGTGTGAATACTAAATTTCAATGCTGTAAACACCTGTCAAGTTTAAAATATCTCTATAAATGATAAATTAAATATTTGGAATGAAAATCTAACGAGTTTTATTGAATAATATACACATTTTTTAAATATTATAATTTCTTAAAAAATTAAAGCACCAATTAGTTTTGATTTTGTGTGATTATTTTTTTCACTTTTATTTAATTTAATACATTAATAGTGTGGACATCAGCCCGCTATAAGGGTTTGGGATATCAGAGATAAAATAGAATTAGCCCAATTCTACAGTCATAAATATGAAGTGGCATGTGTGGTAAGTTAACTCATATTCAATGAAAAAATCTAAATTGGTTATAATATAGGCTTTTACTCCCGATATGAAATATTTGATATCAATTGGGTCTCATCATGACATGTCGGTGAATGTTTGGGATTGGAAAAATAAATTCAAAATTGGCTGTAACAAAATTTCTTCACAAGTAAAAGCCTTGTCTATAAGTCAAGATTCCCAGTATTTTGTTACTTCGGGAAATAAGCACGTTAAATTTTGGTCTCTCACATTTAATCTCAATATTTCGAATAGCCATTCTACCTTGGATAGCATCAATTCACATGTATAATTGATTTTTTTAAACATTTATTACAAATTGTTAATATATAAATTTTTAGACGACGGAACCCATTCCCTTAATAGGTAGATCTGCCATATTAGGGGATTTGAGAAATGAAATATTTAACGATATAAAATGCGGCATATTAGGTAATATGGACAAAGTATATGCTATCACTAATAATGGTATTTTATGTTTGTTTTCGAGGCCTCCTTCTAGACAACTAGAGATAACTGTCGATGTCGAGGTATGTACATAAATATTTTGACCTTTTTCAAATGTAAAGTTTGAGATTGGCTTATTTTTTATATTTATATTTGATAAAGTGTGAAACTGGTAATTGTATATCCGTGAGTGAGCTTAAAGTTATATGTGGCTGTTCCAATGGCGTTATTCGAATATACGATGCAAGTACTTTGGAATTAATGACAAATTTTCCAAAACCTTACGCCTTAGGCATCAGTCGTTCTCTTCTTGACCCGACACCTTTTAGTTTAAATATATCCCCAAAAAGCCATCTTGATCTTACTTTCCCAGATTGCATCGCATGTGCTATAGATACTGGCACAAATCAAGTATTCACGACAAGTTCTCATTAAATATTTATTAATATAAGATCATAAGCTATTAAACTACACGCCTTTCTTTATATAAGAGCATATATATATTTTATTCTTAAAGGCGATCTCAATGTATAATGATCATGGAATTTATATTTGGGATATGTCAAATGAAATATTGGATGACATTCGGCCTAGTTGGAATTTTTTTTACCATAGTTGCTGTGTATGGGAAATATTGGTTCGATTAAATCACTTTTACAATAATCATAAAAATTTTTTAGCTTTCATCTCTCTCGCTGAAAGATGATTTAAATCAAATAACTCCCCTAATGATTACATGTTCATATGATGCAACCATTCGGTTTTGGACCATGGACTCTACCGATAAGCCAATTCTAACATTTATAATCTATCTCCATGCAAAATATGCACATTCAACAGTTTACTCTTCCACAAATAGTATACTTTTTGATAAATGATAAAATTTAGCTCCGATTAATTATGTAAATATTTTATCTGATATTCTTATCTTGTTTTGTCAACAGAGTTTAATATTTAAAAAAAATCTTGGGGGGGGGCGAAGGTGAACTCTTCCATATTTTAGGTAAGTTTAAATTTTAATAAATTATTTCTTTTGAAATCCGATACATCTGAATTTACAGAGATTACTATTCGTTGGCAACACGTTGGTGTGAACAGTAATTAAACTGTGAATAACATTTATAATCATAATACAAATACACTGTTAGTTAATATTCACACTGCTCTCTGACACGGATCGTAGTATATGTGAAATAGAGTTTGACAGAGCGAGTCGAATGGTGAGTTAAAATCTATAGTGAAAATTTAAAAAGATTTTCTCATGAATGACTATATTTTATGTTACAAAATTTCAACGCAAATAAAATTTTGTCCACTTATTCAAATTTTATCATTTATTTTTTAAAATTCTATCATTTTTGCGATAATAAACATCAATCAAAATTAAGCTTAACAGATTGAAAGTGGTTGAAAAAAAAATGGATAGAACAAGAGAACATTTTTTCGACTCGATGCTCATAAAGTATTTTTTCCGACCCAACTCAGACATATAATTAATTACAGGTTCCCGACCCTAAAATCAAGATATAAATAAATTTACTCTAAAATTTATTTACTTTTCAGTATTTTATAAGAAAATATAAAATGAGCAAAATTGTAAAATAATATTCAATCCATGAGTTATTTATATCACTAATTTAATTCAAAATTATAAAAATAAAATACTTCCAACCCTGACCTAACCCGACTTACATGAAAAAAATATATTTCCTGACCCAATTCAACACGAAATAAAAAAATAATCACAATTTCTTGACCCTAACCGCGGTCGGTAAAAATATAAACTCGATTAGGCATCAGTTGCCAACGAGTTAATAAAATGTGTGGGGGGAAGGGGTATAAATTTTAAATATTAGAAACATCCTTATAGTTTTTTCGCTAAATTAAGATACAATATAATTTTTAAAAATTCAAGCAGTTCCAAATACTTATAAATGTCAGAAAATTTAAGATACAAATTATCGCTTATATAATATACATATATTCATGTTACTGCCTAACCGGTCATCGATTGGCATATATCTTTCTTTCTAGAGCTAAACTTCGTTATCTCTGTGTCAATATGGGAAGTATTTTAAGAATTCCTGCTAATAACATTCTATTTATATCAGCACTGTCTTATTAGTATCGTTAATGCCTGTCAATTTGAAACTTGATTCAGGGTTTTAATTAATTCTTGATTAGCTTATTTATGCATACAATGAATTAACTAAGATTTAAATCCCATAAACTGCATCCCGCAAATATTTCTATCTCCAATATCTTTCTTCACTTCTATATTTGTATTTCCTAAGGATGTGTATATTTGTTAACCCAATTTAAACAATTTTTATTTTGCTTCACTAATAAATAAAAATCATAGTATGATTTAGTAATATCGTTGTCAAGTGAATTAGATTTATTCAAAGTAGAAGCTAATAGTAAACTCGTTTGATCTCTTTGCTCGCCTTGATTAATTCTTACTGTACTGTTTGTTTTTAACATTATGTCAAAAGGTGTCAGGAATTTGGAATTTCATTTATTATAACGAAAATTCATTATACTTTTTCAAAAATATGACTTTTTATTCTAATATTAAGGTAAAAATATTTAAATAGGAACACCATCAAAAAATATTTTCTATGTCCTTATAATTTATTATATTATGTATTAAAATCAATATTAAATTTTCTTAATTTTAGACAAAATGGAAATACCAAACAATGTTGTGAGTAATAGCCATTACAATTCCGACTACGGAGCTCGTTCTTTAACTTTAAGTAAAGATGGAAATTACCTAGCGTGCGGAGACAAAATTGGAAATATAAGGTTGAATATTTAAAATATGTGTTAGCTAATATTTTGTAGAATATTTGAAACGAATGGTTTAAAAGAAGTTAATTTTATAGAAGCACATGATGGGGAAATTGTGACTCTTGATTTCTCATCTTTAAATAGTTTATTGAATTCATATATTTACAAACATGATATTTATTTAGGTGAGTATGAAGAATATTCACAATTGTTGGCTTCAGGCAGCAAAGATAGATTAATACATATTTACCAAAAATATGCCGACATTAATTTTGTTATATCTCAAACTTTAAACGATCATTCGGCTCCTATATGTTGCGTCAAATTTATTTGCATCAACTCGGAATCTTACCAAAATATTAAAGTTCTGTTGTTGTTAAGCTGCGCTGCCGATAAATCCATTTTGGTTAGGGAAGCTATCACTGTATAAATATTAAATATTTTTAATTATTATATTATCATTTTAATATAGGGAAATAGGGATGACTTAAAACAAAAGGCCATCAACTTTGTTCTATTATATCAAATAACCAACATTTCCTGTTATTTATATGATTTGGATATAGATGCACACGGTAAATTTATTGTTACAGCTTGCCAGGATAGAAATATACGGTTTTAAAATTTCTGATTTATTTTATCATATCTCTTAATAGGATATATGATGTGTTAGATGGGAAGTTAAAATACATATGTAAGGGCTCTCCAAATGAAGAAGGCATATTGATAAAGGTTTGCTTTGTTTAATCAACAACTCGTTTAACATATAAACATAACAAAAATAGACTGTGTTCGATCCATCATCTCAATTTGTCGCTGTTAGTTGTTCTGATAAATCTGTAAACATTATCGATTTCAAGACGGGTGAAATTATGGCTAATATAAATGGCCATTCTGAAATTGTGGTATGTTTCAAATTTTCCATAGATGGATCTAAAATTTACACTGCTACTTTTGATGGGTGATTTAATCCTTAATGATTTTTTTTTACCAATATATCTCTTACTTCTTAGGTCTATATATGCATGGAAATTATCATCAGAGTTGATAAAAAGAATACAATTAAATTTATCAGAGTGTCAAGATATGAATTTATTTATCAGTCCTATTTATTCCTCAATTTTACTCAATAAACACAAAGAGAAGTATTAAAATACTTTTATATATTTATCATTTTATAAAAAAAATTACATTCTATAATCTATTAGCAAAAAATATGCTTCCGAGAAAGCATCCTCGCCATATAATTTCAATATTAATCACTTGCCTTCTTGGGCTCAAAAACAAGTACTGGTATATTAAATTTAATGTAAATTAAACATTACCATATTTATTCAAACAAGTTGACAGAGACAGATCAAATAAAACCTGTCCTTTTACCATCAACTTTTTCTAAGTTAAATCCTTTTGTTAAATACGGTACATCAATTTTATTAGTAACAATCTATTTACATGTATAGATAACTTAAGTTCAGATGATATGGAAAGTTTGTCTTCTTATTCATCACATTTAACAGTAAACAAAGAATCTCAATTCCTTAATAGGTTTTAATTATAATTAATGGGATAATTTATTTTGATTATCATTTAAGAATTAATTTCCAAATATCTAACCACTTACCCCTCTTACCAAAAGATAATAATGGTAGACTAAATTACACAAGTCCAGATGCGATACCACCAATATTTGAAAACACAAGGGAGAGTTTGTCATCAAAATTTTTTTTGAAATGTTCCTCAAATATCAATTTTACAAAATCCGATACCCCCCATTCCCAAAGTGGTGCTATAAATATGAATAAATTAACTATCATAGGCAACAATACTACTAAATCTTATCTATTGACTGAGAAAATCAGGGATTTTAAGATGAGTCAATCCGTATCTCATTTAAACAATATTAAAATTAGTTATGAAAATGGGACCAATAATCATCTTGGCAATTTCGATGATCTGAATTTCAAAAAATATTTTAACCAACAATCAAATGACAATATTACAGTTTATTACTTAATTTCTATTAAATTAATTAATAAGTTTCAATACAATTTTATTCATATTATGAAACCAAATTAACGTTCGGCGGACTTACGTAAATAAGGCAAAATGTATATTTAATATCACATAGAGTGAAATACTTTGTATAAAGTGCGAAATTTTGATTTCTTTAATTTTTTTATATTAAAATTATTATATAAACTATAATATTTTTGTAAAGTACATACATTCAAGATATCAATTTCGTTACTATAGACTTGTTTCGACTTGGTTTACATGCATCTGTCTATTAATTTAATTGCATAAAACAATTAATATATAAAAATATTATATTATAAAAGGTAATGAAGCGCAATAAAGCTAATTTGTCCTTAGCCCTCGATCGGACAAAAAATTTGTTAAATTCAATGGTAGTAGTATATTTGAATTATATTCATGTTTAATATATATTTTATATAGCAAAGTTTAGTTTTAACCCCAGAAAAGCAATCACGCCATAATTTTTCCTTACCAATACACTCGATTGGGATTAATACATGTAAGTAAAATGAATACACTACAATTGTTAAAATACATTATTTAGGTGATGAAGATAAATCTCTTAATCATTGCAGTCATTCTACAGCAAGACGATACTCCCAACCTTTATATAGTAGGTTTAAAAAATAATATATCTTATTCTTAATATTTTAAGGTCAAGTATTAGTTTCTAGTTCGGCTGCTTTAATAAATACCAAACGGCTAGAATATTTATGCACATCACGTCGATCATCTAAAGTTCATATGTCACCACGATTAGAAGCCTTGGATCAAGAAGATGGGATTATCATGAGCGATCATAACAAATGGAAAAGTATGGTATCCTTGATGAGGTCTGATAATCATCATTGCGATTTGGAACAAAGCCATACCCACTTAGATCGTTATAAATCTCACCAATCCCTTCATAGCACTCTACATGCTCCTCTATTATCCCGCACTAAATGTTTGAATAAGTCGCCATCTTTTAAAGATTTGTTACATATAGCTACCAATTTATCTCCCAATATTGCATGTTTAATAAACAAAAATGACAAGAGGGACTATAATATACCTCCCAACTTCGATCCTAACAGATATACCTCAATTTTTAATTTAAATAAACAAAATCAAGATTTAAGTAATTATGCCTGAAATTTTAATAATGATTATTTTTAAAGATTTAAATTGTGATAATGGGAATGAGATTTCCGATTTTCACACTTCCTTACCAAATTTAAATAATCGAACAAGTCCTGATGGTATAATGAGCGCCATTGAAGAACCCTGCAAAATTCAAATTCATGAAAACCATCAATTAATACAAATGCTTTTACAAATCAAACGTAACATTTAAAATATCATTAGTCTATTTTACGAAAAATTTAACATTTGCAGATCCCTTAAAAGAATTGGGTAAAACTATTAATTGCACTAAAATTATCAAAAATGTTGAAAGCCAAGTTAATTATTCTAAAATTAATAATAATTTAATTTATTTAAGATGTCCTTGATACACGATAAAATCTATAACAACCACCAGAATAAATGTATACACGACAATGTACTTATATTGATCCAATCTTTATTAATGATTGAATTAGAAGCTAAATCTCATTTCAAGGCTGTTTTTGATATTTTGGAAATGTTATGTAAGGGATGTGCATACTCTTCAACAATCCCCTTTTCTACTCATTTATCAAGTGAATCATGTGATAGTACAATAAAATTAATCCGATCATATATGAATGAACTCAAAACTCTAAATCAATCCATTCTCAACACATGCGATAATATATTCGATTAAAAAAATTTTATAGTTATACTCAGGGACGTGCATTCCTATAAAATCATTTGTATTATTTTTATGCATATATATTTTTTATGAAGGTAACTTTATACAATTGTTTAATATTGGATAAATAAATCTATATAGAATTATCAGTCCTATCTGGTAGTTTTAATTCTCTTAATAAATGTATTTTTAAACTTAACAAATCTAATCTATAGACAAAATCCAAATTATTATTATAAACTTAGAGATTTTTATTTGTAGATATGTCTACGAAGTTTTTTTCCTATTTATTTATTTATGAACTCTATTATTTTAATAAAAGTTAATTATTATGACCATATGCATAGACAGATTTAAAATAATTATATCCAAAGTTTCTAATGCACATAAATATTCTAAATCACAACTTTATATTTTATTAACGTTTGGTAAATATATAATCTAATTATATACATACATATCAGTCATTCATTTCTATATTATATTAAGATTTCCTATTATATAGTTAAGAGTCGGCTGAATATTTGGCAATTTATGAGTTCTGTTTGAGCTTTATTTATAGCATCCTTGTTTAAAAATCCTATATTTCCTTTTTCAATTCGTCTACCTTTACCAGGATATCTTTTGTCATTAAATAGGAAATGTAGTATGAAAGCCAACTGATTTCCTTGAGCACTAATATTTTATTTCATTTAAAATACAGGTTTGGGAAAAGGGATTACGATAACAGATTAAGAGTGAATGCCAAACTGTCATCATCAATTCTAAATTTGCTGCATCTACTCTATGGTGAACAAAGAGGTATATTAAGCCGGTTATTACATTAACTATAGCGCATAACTGAATTCTTGGTTATATAATAACAATTTATGATTTCTGGATGGTACAACTTCTAACTATATCCTCGTTCCTGATATTAAATATGGATCTAACCTTATGTAAACTCGAACTAAGTCCGAATTTTTTGACCAGCAGTTTATCCAAGTATTTCTTTCTTACGAAATTTTTTCAACTAATTTTTAACCATAAAACTGACCGAGGACATGATCGCAAATTGCTTTCGATAAAAGTATAGATTGGGATGGATAATGTTGCTTAAACTAAGATCACATCTGAGTGACAGTGTGACATGATATCAAACAATATCCTTGGACCTGATTTATGAATAACTAAGAATTTATTTTATTCTATAGAGAAAATAATAAATTTTTAAGATATATTTCTTAATTATAAAGGTGTAGATCACAGAAAACATGGGCCTAAACTTTTTTACCACCCGCCTTAGATCAGGCCAAGCCAAAAATCCAATTTTAGATTACTACTCATTGCTAATCAAAGATCCCAATTGAAATATATGATTCAATTTCCTCGGAGGCGTTTAATATTTATCACTTTTTAAACTTCCTCATCATTTAAAATCAACCCATTATCAATATATCAAGAATGTAAAATAAAAGAGCATTTGTTTTTGATGCTTACTAGCTCGTGATTCCTAAGCACAACAATGCGAGCCCTAAGGAGTAGAGCATTCAGATAATAATTTAATAGAATATTATAAATAAACAGATGAATGATAATAAAGGGAGATGTTAATATTAATTATTTATTTTTTAATTTATAATAAACTTCTTAAATAATATCTGGGATAGGTTCTAAATCGCTAAAACAAAAATCGCTAAAAATTGGGAACATGGCTTCTATCTCCTAGAAAATTTTTAAAGTAAATTTGAAATTAAATATTAATAGATACTAGGGGATTAAATACTTGTATTTAAATTGAAAATTTAAAAAAAATAGCTAAAATAAAATGGAAAAAATATCATCCAAAATCCCAGTTTTGGGAATCAAATTGGGAATATGGATGATATTTCTTACATTTTAGCTATTTTTTTTAAATTTTCAATTTAAATACAAGTATTTAATCCCCTAGTATCTATTAATATTAATTTCAAATTTACTTTAAAAATTTTCTAGGAGATATAAGCCATGTTCCCAATTTTTAGCGATTTTTGTTTTAGCGATTTAGAACGGGAACCTAATATCTTATGTCCAGTTGAAATTTATCATGTTTGGACTAGGCCAGAAATTCAACTTTCACATAAACTCATTAAGCTCGAAGACTATTATAGTACCTTTGATTCAAATTTTATTTTAAAGATTAAGGATTGTGATATTAAATTTATTATATTACTTTTAAATGTTTTCTCAAGTTGAAGCTATTAGTTTTGTTTGATGATAAAACCTCTGGCACATCTTACAACAAAGTTTTAACCCTGTATTAATTTTTTTTATCAAGATTGAAATATTTGAAAAATTAGGAAAATGTTGATATGATCTGTATCAAAATTATAAATACCTGTCGACATTTTAAATTATTTTGAAAACTAGATTTATAATGCATATTTTGAAATTTCAAAGAAAAGAATATGATTTTAGAATTAATTATAAATATATTTTAATAATTTTGATATGTATTATATAAATTTGAAAGTAGCCAAATAGCGCGATACTTCACTTCCTTAAAAATTAGACGAGCTACCGCTATCTTTTTAAAAATTTAGCGTGCTAAAGCTACCGCTTCTGAAAAATAGTGCGCTATTTAACAATACTAGTAACCAAACGCCAATACATAAATTATGAACCTTTAACGCCTCCCCCCCCCCTTATTATATCCCATTTAGAAAAAAAAGCTATTACTTAAACCAATTACAATTCCGAAACACTTTTTAATTTTCTTTACAATAGATGTCGTTTATCGCGAAGCAATTTTAGAACGAAATTAATTCCGCCAATTTTTCCCCACTAAACTTTTATAGAGAAGACAAGAGCGCTTTACTTAAACTGTGAACTCATTAGAATGCAGGGACTTCCACTGCGGGGTGGGGAGATCAGTCAAGATCGTCATTGAAATTAGAAGGGGTAGTTAGTTATGCAGTAGTTATCATTATGAATAAAATTGGAGAAGGATGAAGTAGTTTTAATTTGAATTTTCTTTTTTTTTATTATTTCGATTTGGTAGAAAGAAGTTAAAATTTTTGAGGTGGTTGATATCATTGGCATAGGTGTATAAGTCCCTGTTAAAGTGAATACATTAAATTCTTTACAAGTCCTTGTAAAAGTTAAAATAGGAATGGTATAGCAAAGTATTAACTTTTTTACTAGAATTAATTATTTTAGGCCACATTTTTTAAATCTAATTTATATAGAGAATAAGTATCATTAAATAAATTTCATAATCAAAATATTAAAAAATGATTTTTTTTATTGAATTGTGAACGAAAAATGATTTTTTTTATTGAATTGTGAATGAAAAAGAAGAGTATAGAGATCATATAATCTAAATCAATAAAGTTTATTTGCTAAATATATAACAGGCAGAGGTGTAATAATAAATGTTTTAAACGAATTACTGACAAAAATGTCCTGGACAAAAATACCCCAATTATACAAAAAAATTTAATGTGTTTTGAACGGGTATATACAGGGTTTCCCATTCAAAAAAGGGAAAGTCCCAATCAAAAAAGGAAAAGTTTCAATCATAAAAGGAAAAGGGTCAATCATAAAAGGAAAAGTGTCAATCGAAAAAGGAAAGGAAAAGTGTCAATCAAAAAAGGAAAATTCCTATTCAAAAAAGGAAAATCGTAATTTTTTTTAATTTTTATTTCTAAATTTTTGCGATTTCTTTACGTTTTATTTCTTATTGTATCTTTTCTCAATTTATTTCTCTTACTATATCTTTTTTCAATTTTTTTTCTTCTCATTTTTGATAATTCTTTTGTATTTTTATTTATAAATTTAGGTCCATTTTTTTAACAATTCTTTATGTTTTTTTCCATCAACATACAATATTCTTTTTTTGATTTTTTATTGTAATCTTTTACATACATTTCTAACCCTTTTCAATCTCTTCATTTTTATTTTTTTGATCTTTTCTCTATTTTTTTCTTCTCATTTTTGATAATTTTAAAAATAAAAATTTAGAATGATTATTGTATTTAATTACAATTGCTAAATTATAAATTAATCGTTTGGTTATAATGTACCTTTTTTTTAAATTAAATAAGTTTAAACTGTAATACCAAACGATATGTAAATTAATAAAATATAATTATTTTTAAATTCTTATTTTTAAAATGAGAAGAAAAAAAATTGAGAAAAGCTCAAAAAAAATAAAGATTAAAAATGAAGAGATTGAAAAGGTCAGAAATGTATGTAAAAGAAAAAATCATAAAGAATATTCTATGTATGATGAAATAAAAACATAAAGAATTGTTAAAAAAATGGACCAAAATTTATAAATTATATTTAAAAATGCAAAAGAATTATCAAAACTGCGAAGAAAAATAAATTGAAAGATATAGTAAGAAAAATAAAGAAAATCGTAAAAGGTTAGAAATAAATTGAGAAAAGATACAGTAAGAAAAATAACGTAAAGAAATCGTAAAAAGTTAGAAAATAAGAAGGAATAACAAATAAATAAAAATTTAAGAAAAATTGACAAGAAATTTAAAAAAATTACGATTTTCCTTTTTTGATTGACACTTTTTCTTTCCTTTTGGGAATTTTCCTTTTTTGATTGTTCCTTTTCTGTTTGACACTTTTCCTTTTTTGATCGGACTTTTTCCTTTCTTTTTGGGAATTTTCCTTTTTTGATTGACACTTTTTCTTTTTTGTTTGGACCCTTTCCTTTTATGATTGAACCTTTTATGATTGACCCTTTTCCTTTTTTCGGGACTTTTCCTTTTTTGAATGGGGAACCCTGTATAATTAGAATAATTTATTCTATACTTTTGATCCGACGATAGGCGAATTTCTTGATTCTGTCGCAAATTTATTTACGCTTATTGTCTAATAGTGTAATTCATGAGAATTATTTTGTAATAAAATTTTACTATTAATGTTCCTCGTCAAAATTGATCATATTTATTAGGGAAAAAACTATATGACTCAGCGTCTACATAACAGGATTTTCACTGGATGCAAACCCCCATTCAAAAACCTTTGCCTATCCCCCTACATTATTTTCACCTATTTATTTATTGATACTCTTTTCAAAGAATTTATAAAGGATAACTTAAATTAATCTATCTCTACTACCAACTATCGATATTTTGTGAATATAAAAAAGAATTTATTTTTTAGATAATAAATTCAATTAAAACCTCCATTATTTACAATGAATTAATTATTATGGCATTATGAGCTTGCTGAAATATATCTAAACCTTTTAAATTACATTTAAAAGGATAGTTTATTTGTAAAACAATGTGTATGATTGTTTGCAATATATAGATTTG